AGCTACGTGCTGGTGCTGTAGCAGTTAGCAGCTACGTGCTGGTGCTGTAGCAGTTAGCAGCTATGTGCTGGTACTGTGACAGTGAGGGTTCACTGTATTTCAAAGATTTTAACAGTTTTTAACTCCTTTGATGTTTTCCAGGCTTTGATTGTCGCTGTGGGAACCTGTTCTGCGGGATCCACCGGTACTCAGACAAGCACAACTGTCCGTACGACTACAGGGCCGACGCCGCCGCCAAGATCCGCAAAGAGAACCCTATGGTGGTGGCRGAGAAGATCCAGAGAATATGAAAAGAACTCTGCCTGACTTTCACATCAGGAGCAATGAGGTGGAGCTGAGCCCAGCCTTCAGCCTGAAGGTTTCTTTTAGTTTTCTTCCGTTACCGCATTCAGGTGGATCCTCCCGGTGAGACTTTGGGTTGTTTTGAACAGAGAAGTTGTCGGTGTGCTGATGTTTGGGTGTGYCGCTGCACGCTCTGCTTCTGTGATTTCTCTGAACTCTGCTCGGATGTTTGGACTCGACTGTTTGTGCTTGCTCTCTGCTGGCTTGAGTAGCAAAATGGAATTTTTTTTTTTTTGCCAGTTTCTGGCCTCCGGACGTCGGCGTTGAACCCTCCTGCTTTGTTAGGATTTTAGAGGTTTTGTTTTTGTTTGATCCTGTGTTATAATTTTTTTTTGCTGTGTCCTGATCTGAACGGCATCTGTGTGGATTTTTGTTTTTTCTTTAACTCCCTGCCGTCCACTGAAGTCACATGAAGATTCYGGCTCCTGACTTTTTATTTTCCGAAGCGTAATCAGCTCCAGAACACTAGTGCCGTTTGGACTCGTAGCTTCTCGAAGGGTTAAACTTTCTTTTCTTCTCACTCTGCTGTTAAATGTTTTCCTTTAGATTTCTTTTATCTGATGCCAGTTGAAGTTGGGAATGACTGAAAACAGAAAAAGCTGAAGTGATTGTGTTTGTTGTAGGTTTTTAAATTCTGGGTTTTGCTGCCTTTTTTTAACCCCTTCAGTTAAACAAGTTTGTAAAATTCTTTGTATTTAAATTCTGCAGTGTGTGTAATCTTCTGACATTAAATTGTATGATGTAAATAAATTATGTTCACAAATATACAAARGTTTCTAATTCATTAAAACCCATCCAGTAGTTTGAGATATTTTGCTAACACAGACTTGGTTCACTCTAATTACTTAAATCGTTATTCAAACGCCTAAAAGTGGAGGGAAACAGGACTTTTTAAAACGTTTTAAATTGAGGCCTTTGTTTTGAAAAGTTCAGGGTTTATTTGATGTTTTGCCGTCCTGTTAGACTTCACAGGGATGAAAAGGTGTTGAATGTTGCAGGAACAGTAGGTGGTGCTGTAGGCATGAGAACAAAGCTAAAACTGGATCTGAAGGCTTTCCAGCATCATGTGCTTCCTGTAAAGTCTTAAAGTCTGCAAACCAAACAAATATTATTGTCTCTGATCTTTAAAATGTTGAACTTGACTGCACTTACTGTAATTTGTAAAGATAATTATTTATAATTAGGTGGTGGAACAGATGCAGTAATTCTGATTTTAAAAGTTTAATTTTATTTAACTTCCTGTTTCTGTTAACAGACATCTCATTTAAACACGTGGTTTCCACTGAAACATCAGCAMTTTTGCTAAAAGCTCAAACATTTCTCTGTCCAATCAGTAAAGGTAAACAAATCTGTAATTTTATTTATGCTAGTCAAAGCAAATGCTAAAATAGGAGTGCAACAAAACGGAAAATCGATTCAGTTCAATGTTGTTTTTTTTTGATACGAAAGAAAAACGTTCACGCCCTTAACTTGTCATTTATTTAAATTAATTATGAACATTTGTTTAACCTCAAAAGTCCAGTTTTTAATTAAAAGTTGCTGAAACAAGTTTCTCAGTGGATCTGTGCTCCACAGTGCAYACTAGGTGGAGTAGTCGAACACAGATCCACTGATCCTTCAACACAGAGCATCTTCAGAAGACAAGTTGATAAAATAAATGTTAAAAATCTATTATTACATACATAGTGTGTATTATTACATGGTGTGTATTAWTACATACATGGTGTGTATTATTACATACATGGTGTGTATTCTTCCATACAGAGACATGTATTGTTGCACCCCTACAAAATATGTTGTAAAGTGTTTTGAAAGGATTTTTTTCAGTAAATATACTCTAGTTATGCTCAAATATAATCATTTCTCATTGTTTTATATGAATATGGTGAAAAATAAATGTAAAACAAAATATAAACATTCTGTAGCCATTGTTTTCAGATATGTAAGAAATGTGATCAAAAACCTGAAATTTTTAAACATTTATTGATGGAACCAACTTGTTCCATCCTGTACAGAATAACACCAAGTTTTTTTTTWATATTTTTGTTTTTTTTATTAAAACTTTGCTCCAGTTTGTTTCAGCTGCATGGATTTTCACACAGGTCCACATGTGGATTTGTGGTTTCCAAATCATTTTTAGCCTCATTCATTATATTTTATAAATGGTTTTATACTTATTTCGAAAACTAATTCAGGTGAGGGGGAAAATTACCTTTTTTTTTCTGTTCCATCCTCCCTATCTCTGAAATACAAAAGCAGATTAGGGCCAATTATGGCCACTGGAAAGAATGTTCATAATTCTGGCTTTAATCTCAGATTTCTTGGAAAAAATATCAAAATTCAGACCTTTGTTTTCTCTGATACTTTTCACTCTGATTGTTAGCTTTAATTTGGAACTGCAGGTTTAAATATAGTTTGTAAAAGTAAAGACATTTAATTACATTTGAGCTCGTTAATTCAAGCACAAACCCGGGGCTGAGGAGGTTTCAGAAATAAAGTTCAAATCTAACAACCTGCTGCAGAGAAATAATTCAACTCTGAGGCAAAAAGTCAATAAAAACAGGTTGAGATTAAAAATGGCCCCATTTTTATTTATTTATTTAAACTGAATACTTGTTTATATCCCTGAATAAACAGCTGCAGGGCTGGATTTGACCCGAGGGCAGCAGGAGGGTCGAGTCAACCTGAAACAGGAAGTAGGTTCTAGAAACTCTAGGAACCAGGAGTAAACCTGCAGTTAGTAAATTTTAAATTCTGTTCTGAATTTAAAAAGAAGACGAGCTAAAACTGGAGAAACCAAACTTTGTGGACCTTGTGTGAACCGGATGTGTGCAGATCACCTGTGGGAGCGTCCGGCTGTAACCGGAGCATTACAGATGTGGAAAACGAGCTCTGCTCTAATGTTTCATGAGACCCCGCGACGTTGCTGACTCAGCTGTCATAACCTGCGGTGGTGAAAATAAAGAAAACCCTCCTGCTGCACGGCCGAGCAGCAGTATTTTAACAGCTTGTGTGTCGAGCCGCTCACACAGAAACCTAAACCTTCATTAAATCTTTAAGACGGCTGCAGTTCTCCTGTGACTCGATGAGTGAGAGTGAGAGGCTGTTTTAGTGAAGCACGATCCGAACACTTTCTCCTGGATCAGATCCGCCTCAGGTCCGGATCAGACCCGCTCTAGATCATTTCATACAAGCTCCTGAATTATATCCCAGCTTTTTATTTCAGCAAGCAGTGGATCAGTCGCCTTATCGTTGGGTGTTTTAGAACTTCTCCAACACCTGTTGACACCTGGACCTGTGGTCGTCATGGCAACAGAGCTGTCAGACACCTGAGTTGGGGGGTGCAGAGGAAGAGGAGCCAGAGAAGTGAGCGTTCACGCGGAGGACAGACCGCCGCTTTTCCACTTGCATCATGCCGAGGAAAAGGGATGCCGCTGCTGAGGACGGTGAGCCGAAGCTCTTTTTGTTTTGTTGTTTTGTGTTATGTTGTGTTATGTTTAGAGCAACACAAATCTTGTTATGTTTTTCACCACATGAGATGAGCTTTGYCCTCCCTCGACCCAGATAACAAACACCGTTACAGGTCGGGTCCAGTGGTTTCCTCTGCTTGACCTGATACATTAAACCTGAACTTGGACTGTTGGTGCCAAATAAATAATGTTTAGTACATTTTTTTTACTTCAGCACGTCGCCATTTTGTTCCTAACACAATGCATTCTGGGGATGATGATGATGGGTGGCAGGTGAGACTAAAACAAATTCTTAACATAACGCACATAATATATAAAAGTGTTTTCCATTCTCTTACAGCAATTATWTTAGCTCTGGTGCTATCACTGTACACATATTATTAATACATGTGTGACTGTGACATTAGCTTCTGAGCTAATGTTAGCTTGAGAGCTAATCTCYTATACCAACGTATATACGGTGCCTGGCCAAAACAAAAGTCTCCACCTGGATTTAACTAAGCAAACAGGTACGAGCCAACCAGTGCAATGAGTTGTTCCTCATTTCTTAAACAACCATGTYGAAAGACACGTCCAGTGGTCGTGGAAAAGATGTCAGTCTGTGTTAGAAGGGTCAAATCATTGGCATCAAGCAGAGAAAACATCTAAGGCAGGGCTATTCAACCAGCGGCCCGGATGACTAATTCGGCCCGCCAATTGGTTCATTCATCTCTTAAGGCTGGCGTCACACTACAAGAAAATCAGGTCGYTTTTTGCTCTTCCGACAATCTTAAGGAAGTCCAGATTATCGTGATGGCTCTAAAGATAATCTGAGCAGATATTCCCATCGTGGGTGGAGTTAAGAGTGATCTAGTCAGCTCGGAAGGACGTCAGGACCGCTCCGACCTCAAATCAGGGATTTTCAACATGTTTGATTTTTTGGCCCGATATCACAGTGTGTGTAGCGTTCACCCGAGCTTGCAGCCTGTGAATGAGACGTGTAGCCAATCAGAAAGCGAGGTGACGTAAACACAGAGGGGAATCCAAAATACAGAACGCAAAAAAAAAKCTGTCATGACTCACCAGGAAGTCTGCTGGATGTTAAAAGTCCTATGGTATTGTTTTTCCTCTGGTAAAAATAGTCCACAAACGATCAACATTGTTTCTTCCTCGTCACAAATGTTTATTTACTCTGAACTCACGTCTCTCTGGAGGTCACGTTGTGACGGTTTCCAAGGTATCTCCTTTTATTTAATTTTTTAGTTTACTTTTATTTTGTAGGGGTGCCAGCC